ATTTCAATGAAGTCAGCTATACATTGTCAGACTTATATTTACCTTTTTGGATTTGTAAGAAAGTAACACCGTTGCTTTTATCTTATAAAATAATATTTTACGCAAGTAACGCTTGCACTTGAATCTGTGTTTCATAGATAAGATAAGCAGGGTGAAGTTTTATTTTTTTCAACTATTAGCATTATGTATACTAAGTGACAGACAACAAAATGCATTAAAGAAGAGAGTTCTCTGGGTTTCATATGAAAGTATTTTTGAAAATTGCGTCTCTGAGTATTTCGTTAAAACATTTTGAAGAAATCACTTGAAGATGAATGAAAATATAAACATTTTCATTCTTGGTGTTTAATTCATTTGCTATTCGTACAGTCGAAACAAATAGTATAACAATACGATTGTGCTTGTTTGAGAAGGGTGTGGGTGTGGGTGTAGATAGAAGGAATACCCACACCCACACCCACATCCACGTTTTACTTCAAAATGACTATTTTGGCAGACAAAAAAACTGTTGTTTACGAGTCAAATGAACTCCAGTGAAACAAAACTTTTTCAATCTGCGTGCAAAAACTCATTAGAAAAAAGTACTTTCAATAAGAAATTAAATTCATTGTCTCGAAGGAGATTTCTAATCCCAGAATAGATATAAAATCGTGGATATCATTGATCATGATATTCCTGTTCGGGCTTTCGCCTTCTTAAAAAAAGAATCTCATATTACTAGAGACATTGATCGAAGCATCGTCTCTGAAGAACTCATTGAATATATATTCAGGTTAGTGGATAAATAATTAAAGAAAAAGTATTGCTGGCCACTAATATGACAATTCTAGTAGTTATAAGTCAATTTGATCAGTCATGAAAGCAACCGTTCGTTTTTGTCCGATCATCATCAGTGACGTTTATTGAGTTTGATATAGACAGCATCTGGTTGTATGACAAATGTTTCACGAAGTTGGAAACCCGCTTCCAAATGTTCGCCGGGTAACACCACATAATGACGCAGTAAATGAGCTAAACCCATTTTGATTTCCATCAGAGCAAATCGCATTCCAATACATATGCGTGGTCCCGCACCAAATGTCAAAAGCGCCATTGAATGTCGTTTGGTTGCGTGTCGTTCAGGCACAAATCGATTTGGATCTTCAGGACCCCATAAATCATAATTGTAGTGAACAGTGAGTATGTCCGGCTGAATGATGCTTCCTTAATTTGCAAAAGAAATCAAATCTGTGTTTTTAACCAACGATATCAGATGTTATTTTACCTTTGTGGATGTTATGACCGCATACTGTTGTGGTTTCATTGCATACTCTTGTGATGGCTGCCGTGGAAGCCGGATACATACGAAGAACTTCTCGTAGAAATAAATCCATATATTCCATTTTGGTTACCGTATCATAATCGAGTTCTTTCCCATGTTGATCATCAATTTCTGCTTGAAGTTTCTTTTGAATTTCGGGTTCCGTAGCCAATATGTAAGTGGAATAAGCAAAAATTGTCGAGGTTGTATCAAAACCAGCAACCATAAAGAGAAATACATTCGCCTTGATTTCATCGTTGGTCAGTCCCCTCTCGTGAATAGTTCCCTAGAACAGGCATACTACATAGGTATTTTCCTATATTATCTGTATATACGAACCTCACATCGTGTGACATTGGTATCGAGCATTAGCTGAAGCAGATCAACTCGTTTTGTCATTGCTGATGATGTTGTTCGAGCATCAATTACCTGTTGAACTCTTGATAGAAGCCAAAAACGAGGTATTTTATCGAACATATCGGGAAAGATTGTCGGTGCTAGTTTATGGAGACCACGAAAAACAGCCATCTGACAAAGAACAAGCTGAGTGAGAAAAGGTGTCAGCCATGGCATTAAACGGCTTAATTTGGTCAACAACATACGCTCGATATCTTGTTTGAAAATAACAGCTGCTTTAGCCATCAACTCATTATCAAGATCATTTTCCATGTCCGTATCCATTCCGAATGCACAATGACCTAATAGATAAAAGTCAAATGATATTTTTAACAAAAACAATACTTTAAGTATACTGACAGATAACATCCATGGTCAATCGTTGGTACAGCTTATAGATATCGAATTCATTGTTGTCCTTATTCATTTCGGATAATTTTTTCATGAACGATGCAATACATCGATCAACAAGCGGTGTCATGAGTTTTAGTTTTGCTGTTGAAAATGCTGGATTGATGGCATGTCGTTGTTGATGCCATCGTACTGAGTCGGCGCCGATCAGATGAACCGATTTGGATAGTTGGAAGAGAAAAGAGGTACGATGTGAGTTAAACGATGAAAATTGTTGGACCAACACCTGTTGAAGAAAATCAACATCGGAAACAACGTAGAATGGGCGAGTGCCTTCAAAAAGACCATAGATCGGACCAAATTGTCGTGTCCATGATTGCAATTGACGTGAACACGATTTAGTAGACCATATAGTACCAAAGTGCCCGAGGAAGAATGTGGGTACTGGTCCTGGAATGCCTCGAAGACGAAAATACGAATAACGAGACTTTAAAGTTAACAAATAGACAGCGGCAAGACAAACAAAGCACGTGAGAAGAATGATAGTGATAAACATGCTCTTATATGCGCAACGACAAGATAATAAATGATTTGTAACATTTTTTTTCTTTATTCTATTCTTTCCTTGAGAGAATGTTTTTTACCTTCTATACACATATACTGTCAGGTAGATCCAACCTACACAGCCACCTTTATATCATATTTACTGCATCGATCATGAGAAGACAAGGAAGAGAAAGGCGAGAAGTACGAGGATGTCAGATTAGATAACATAACATTGAATCGAAAAAAGCAGACAGTGAATACTTTCATTTCTTAATATATATAGGCAACATCATTTGTTAGTGACGTGACTCAAAAAAGGACATCGATTTTCACTTCATGCACTTTAGTTTTTTAAAAACTCTGAATTAAGGTAGCAGTTTTGAAAACTAAATAGTACATTCCGTGGACAACTCAAAGAGCTTTAAAATTACTACCAAACGTTTTTTTGGAAGACGCATAGATTTTTCAAAAAATTTGGTTTACTTTTCATTAGCGACATGACTAAATGCGAATATGTAAACGAAAAAATGCTCTTATAAATGAATGAAAAGTTTAAAACAAATTTAAAATGGTACAAATCCTTCCTCAGGATCTTGAGATTATGATAAGAGGGTGGGTGTCTGAAGTTTTTGTTTAAATCCACACCCACACACCTACACCCACCCACACCCTAAAAAATTGTTATCATTGATATCAAACCTCGAACTACCAATGATGAATCTTGTCATATACAGAACTTTCATTGGGTAAGTGTATAGTAGAAAAATCTCGTTTAGTTTATTTTATATTCCTAATTTAAGTTAGTTATTGAATCAGACTCGTCTGTTTTAAAGAAGATAGCGAGACTCTTTTTTTTATAGAGACCGCTACGTCGATTTGTTGAGTACGAATTTTTTAGAGTAACAGGAGCAATTCACGTTAACCCATAAAGAATCTGCAGGCTTATAAACGAAGAGAAAAATTTTTTTAATTAATAATTGAAGATGCTGCGTCAGTCAGCGTATATTTATTCATAGAGCCATGAGATTGTATTATACCTAGATCGTTTTTACAAAAAAGAAAATATTTCGGCATTCACAGCTAGTCTCGCCCATTTGAATGGCTATGAATGAGTTTTTCTTCCCTTGGGCTTTTCCACAAGTTTATGCATTGGAATATGAGATAGGATTTTTTACGAAGCAATTATAAACCTTAAGAGAGATATATTTTGTTTTCAGTGAGTTCAGATGTTTTAGACAATCGTTTACATCGAAATTGAGAATAAAATACTTTTTTCGCGTCACTTAGAATGGAGGTTTTATCTTTTTAGTTATTAAGATTAAATATATTCGAGTCAAATTACAGCTTTCATTGCTATGTCAACAAATTTAAAATATAGAATGTCATTGACATTTAACAATCGAGAAAATCGAAATTTTGGCCAGCTACAATATAAATAAGATGCTCGCAATATAAAGTTTCAGTAGAGTTCTTTTTTGCCTCGTGTTGGTTAGATAGAGCTTTCCAATTTACATAGGTAAGATTGTTTCAAATTAAAAAAACAGTTTTTATATAAGTTAGAATTAGGGTTCTAGACTCTCTTGCGTTAGAAAACGATGATATCTTGGATTTCTTATCCAGCTTGAGAGACTCTATTCAAACATCATGCAGTGTCAGCTAAAATTTGAGTCAAGTAGTCCTTTCATGCAGTCGAGTTAGGAAAGATTGAAATATATACAATTGGATTATGAACTTTTTCATACTTTTCATTTGTTCTCTTCTTACTGCAACGGTATAGTGTTTTTGTTACAGTGTCTCAGCCTTAATACAACATGTAATTCTATTTTACTTTTGTAAAGGTATGATATTCTGTTTTGGATCATTACTAAGAATTTGTAAGAAAAAAAGTAGAACGACAAGCATCTGAAATAAGTACTGTGTAAATTTTTTCAAGTATATTAAATTCATGTAGTAATTTAAATTTTTCGTGTAAAGTTTTCTAATTAACATAACCATTGTATGTTTGATTACATGTAAAATATTAGTGACATAGAACAGAGAAAATAAAATTACTACACAACTACAAATATACTTGAAAAAATTTTCAATGTTCTTATTTTAAATAACTTTCGTTCTTTTTTAAAAATGTGTGATAACGATAAAACACAGAACATCATATCTTGTCGATAGTAAAATATACCTTTGCAGTAAGAAGAGAAATGTGGACGATCACGAAAAAAAAAATAAGTAGAATTTAGCGTGTCTTTTATGTTTTTAAGAGCGCTTAAACACTCAACATGTCGTCAATTTTTTTACCAAAAATACTGGGAATTTTTCGCCATTAAAAATTTTGATGTCAAAAATCTGTTCAAAGGGAACAAACTCGATATGAAATGAGATACAATTTTTTTAAGACAAAATCTGTATAAAAAGTGACATGTCTGTCTGTACGAGTATAAGTGCATTGAACGTCTAGAGTAAACATGTGAGCTGTAAAAAACGCGTTCCAATGAACATTTTTTTGGGTTGCCTGATTATAAGCATTGATGATCTTGACTTTTGCGTGCGAAACAAGGGAAAAGAGCTCGAGCAAGAAACTTTTGTATGCCATTGGTGGTGTTCAACCAGTCTGAGAATGATTTTGCAACGAGAAC